AAGTGTGTTCCTTCCTTTTGCCCCTGTCCACAAGGTTAAACATGGGGTCTAAATATAACCAGCGTTACAGTGATTTGAATTGAAATTCCCTCGATCTCCAGGGCAAACCGAAAGCTAATCAAGGCCAGGAATACGTTGAAGGTCCCCTGAGGGGAAAATCAGACTTCATCTCGAATGCGCAACAAGGGAAAGCCTCGCCTCCTTCTCATCCTCCGAAAAACTCAAGGAAAAACCAATGCCAAGTAGTTAGTATAGAAAACACAAGTTTACACGAGTTTATGGATGCTACGGCGAATCTATAGAGGCTAAGATATGTGAGACAACCACGCGATGAATGACAGAGCACGAGGAAAGGGGAAAGGAGAGGGGCAGAGGCGGGGCGAAAGAGACAGCCAGCTGGGACAGAGAAAGAGACGGGGAAAACTATGGCGGCGGGCGTCCTTCCGCTTTGTTGTTCCCAATGACAAGGGAAATAAAGGGGAAGGCGGCCCAAAAGAAAGGCTAAAAGAAAACACCAAACAAACAACAGATAGCTGCCGAGGAATCACAAAAAGGACGGCTGCCAGCATCGAGCGAAATGCTAAGGAAAATGAAAAATAAATACCAGAAAATGCAATTGAAATTTTTGGCCGCAAACAAAAATAAAGTATAAAGAAAACAAAGATAAACATCGGATGGCAAAGTAATAGCGGTATAGGCAGGCCTTTAAATAGGTTTCCCCAGCATTAAATAATTAAGATACATTTAAAAATAAATTTCAATTTGGTTATTCGAAACATACGGATAACTCTTGAACCCTTCATTGAATTCTTATAGATTTTTGTAGTAATTTTTCATATCTCCATTGCCATTTTCACAGGACGTGAAAAAAACAATAAAGGACCAATAGCTGGAAACTGCTTACATAATCACAAAAATACATAGTCAGCGCCGCAGAAAGAGAGAGCACGACTCGAATAGAAAGGGAGGGGGCGATGGAGCCTTGGAGCCTGTGAACTTGGCTTTCAATGTTGTGCGACTTGAACTTGAATTCGCTTTTCGCCGACAAAAACGGCACGTGCTGGGAAATGCGGAAAAGCTTTCGGCTCTCTTAAATCGCAACTCGACTCTCTTGCGAAGAATACAACTTTCCCTTTCGCATTTAAAATGCCAGTGACGCAAGTTATCAAAAATTTATCAGCCGAAAGAGAGGAGCAACAGGAATAACAATGATGTGCCCTCCTTCTCTAAAAAAAAATCTAGTTCGGTCATATTTTAGTTTTTTTAGGTGAGGATGCAAACAGGTTGTTTGCTCGCCAGACAAAGGACCCAATCTTGGAGGAGGGTTAAGAGTTAAGGCCGGAGCAGGCTTGAGAATTGGCCAAATTAAATTTTAATAATTAAATGCACACAAAGACGAGGGCACGTGCAAAATTTGCATGCGAAATTCGGTTAAGAACTCAGCTCAGCGAGCACATGCCGTTGCATAAATAAAATCGCTTTAAAGCGAAGCCCACACTCAAACACACACACACACACATACAAGGAACAGGAAAAATGACAATGACAGGGATGAATCCCGAGTCCTGGATGTTCCCGCCAGGCAATGTCAACTTTGATTGAACGGACAGGACTACAGGACGAGCGACGGGAGGACAGGAATCGCTCCTCGATTGAGAGGACTTGTCCCTGAAAGCATTTGCATAAGACTCCGGGACTTACACAACGGTCAAGGGCGGCGGGGAAAGCGGAAAGCGGATCGGAAAAGCGGATTGGAAAGTCGGCAGAGGAAAATCATGCAAATCGCAAAGGACGAATTGGAATCGGTGCAGGCAACATAGTCGTTAGGGGGCAAAGAAATCGCAAAGAGCTCTTCACCGAAATCGATACAAATTATTTTGAATTATTTTTTGTAATTGGGCGCAACGTTTCAAGTTGTTTGTCAAAGGCGAAATTGAAATTTGCAAGTTTCTTTCGGCTTATTGAATGTAGCATTTTATATTCAGTGTGCATTCTAAAGTCTGAAGTCTCGAGCAAGCAGAAATTAAAGTGCATTATTCAATAAAGAAGTTGAAAATTTCAAATAAATATTTATGATAACTGAACTAATGGAAGAAATAACTTCAGTGTGAGCATAAATTTATACGAAAATATGGAAATAAATAACGAACCCCATATTGTATGGCTTTTAAGTCAAGCACATACAAAATTTGCCATACATACATTTAGCCAGGAAATTCAATTTGCATTTCTTTAAACCACAACTCCTGGTATTTCCTTATTCCCAAAAAGCCACCGCAATGTTATCCCCCGAAATCTAGGAAGACTCTGGGAAAGGACATGCGGAAAAGCTTAGATAAACTACAGAATCCTTGGGACGCCGTCGCACGTAATTCATTTTTATGAGCTGCCACAACTTGTTGGCTCTGGACAGTTTGGTTTTAGCCAACTTAACGAAAACAAATGATAATCATTTTCGTTCTCATTTTCTGCCCGCAAAATGCAAATAGACCAAAAAACAAGTCGGCAACTTGGCGTTGGCTTTGGCGTTGGCTTCGGCCAAATAGATAAATAGAAAGTCCTTCTCATGGCCAAGGTTGTCTACCTTTTTGTTTGGGACGAGAGCCAAATTGCTGCGACTTGGTTGCAGGAAAATCGTCGCGAACAATGGCGGACAAAAGGAAAAATCACGGAGGAAGTCCTGCAGACAGAACAGCGACAATAAATATAGTCGACTGCAGACAAGTCCAAGGATAAGCCCATAATTAACTTGGCCAACACAACATGTCGAACTTGAGTGAGAGCAGCTTAAATTGAAATTGCCCTGCCAGGAAAAATATATAAATCAGGTTGTGGCGGGCAGGGAGATAGTGAGAGGTTTTGTTGCACAAGTAGCAAGTAAAATGCGTTGTAATTGCCGAAATCAAATGGCCGTAATTTACGTTGACAAGGACACAACTACGGTTTTATTTATGCAAATCTCCTCGCCCAGGACGACGAGCCAAGTGCGTGTGTGTAGGTGGACAGTTGAGGGAGATGCCGGCCAAAAATGTTCCATATTAGAATTATGCAAATGAGACAGTCAACATCGATGCAGGACTCTACTCCGCTGAAGGCGGAGGAAGGACTCTGTTTAGGTATGCCTAATGTCCTTGGGACCCACATCCACATCCACATCCCCGTTCCTATACGATCGGAGTTTGCCGAGCGGCGAACAATGGCAGGCAATTTGGGGCACAAGTTGAAGCAGTTCGAAATGTTTAATTTGAACCAATTTCATTTCAAGTTTTCACCAAAAACTTTTTAGCCGCCGCCCAAACTCACGGAGGCCTTAAGAAATGCATGATGGTGATGGTAATGGTAACAATGTCCGCTTTTTCATAGAGATTAAGCAAGTTTTTAAACGTTAAATTTGGGAGTAACTTAAAGCCTAAGCAGAAATCTAGGGTATTGAATATTTAACTGGAAAACAGTAATTGAATTAAGTTAGGCTGTCAAAAATCAAAGACTATTTTGACAGGATCCCCACTCAAACTCGGGACCTCTCAAATATCCCAAATTAGTTGCCGCTAAATCGGAATACCCGAATAGACTGTAATGTGACACATTAAGCGGCACCAATTGAATTTCCCCCGAAACTGTTGCCAGGAAGAGCCGGAGTGGAATGCTTTTGATCAGCAACTCATCAGACTGCGAAAAAAAAAGTAATAAAACGGGGAAAAAATATAATGTCAGGACAAGCCGCCGCCGCATGCGGAATACTTTAAAAGGAATGCCGAAGGTCCCCGCTCGGAGATATTTATGTATAAATTGTTTTCGCTTTTTTCGGAGGCGACGGGAAGGTGAAGGACATGGCATCGCATGTCCTTGCGCTCAGTGGCTCTATGTGTGTAATATAGAGCAGATATCCGCTTCTCCTCTCCACTTTTTCCCCGTAAATCAACGGAGCCGGGGAAATCACTTAGGACCATGACGCTGCCTGATAAGTTGGCGGTTCTGAAATTAATGGAGACGTTCGCCTTGCTCGATGCTTTTTGCCCCCAGGAGGCTATTAAATGTGTGCAGCTCCTAGATTTTACTCCATGCTTAGATTGCACTTTTTATCGCCAGATTTTTGATAATTCATGGCTTGGTATAAGCACTCCTCAGATTTTTAGAGCTTCTTGGCTTTACGTTTCAATTGATTGAACATGATTTGTGGCAACTGAGAGAAGTCCATCAAATTTTTTTGTTAAACATAACCCAGTCCATATGGGAAAAGCTTTTTCCATGAGCTTTTCGGATGAAAATTTTTCTTAGCTGATTTCCCCACTACCTAACAGCTTTTCGTAAGCTTTTCTCTGTTAACAGCGCGATTACAGTTTCTTTTAAACAGGTATTTCAAATTTTAAATCTTAAACGCAATAAAACTTACGCTACGTAGTAGGGTCACCATTTTCTTGGGAAAACTCACCTGCAACGAAAGAAAGAGGAATTTTATTATTCAAAAGCTGACAAGTCAGTTTGGAAAAAATCAATACAGTAAAACGCACGATAAAGTGCACTTGAGAAAGGTATTCACACTCACAAAAGTTCACTGAGAAAAAAAATCTAAATCGCAAATTGAATTATTACCATAATTTAAAATCCTCAATATTAACACCATCTTTCTTAGTAATATGTTATTCAATTTTAAACCATTCAATGCACATTCTGGTTTTACTGGTTTGTACTTTTTTGTATTTGTCATCGAAAAATCATGTTTAATGAGACAACATTTTTCCTTTCAGTATTTGCACGAGGAGATACATTCCCCGTATCTTTGTTGCCGCTCAGTCGTCATCAAGTGGCCCCCAGGCGACGAACAAGCCGAGACGATGAAAAAGGGGCTCAGCAGACCACTTAACCTTGATGATCGGCACACTCCACGGCTAAGCTACACCCACCACCCCCCAAAGAGCACCCCTTCCTGCCCCTTTTTCGCTCATTTATTTCGCCTCGGTTACAATTCAAGTCATCAAGATTAATGCGCCCCTGTCGCTCGCACGTTGTCGCCGAGATACATCACATCGCATCTGTCCACACGGCGTATGAGTAACATTTAACTTAATTAAATCTCCGGCTGCCGAAGATAGTTGGACCATAGGCGAAAGACCATGAAGTAGATCAACTCGAAGCCACTGATGAAGGAGCAGCCGATGCAAATGCCCAGAACGCCACCGACGTTTGCTTGGATTAAATATGTATCGTAGGTAAATATTTAATTAAATTAAAATGAATTTTTTTAAGAGTTGTGCAAACTCACACAGCATCTGATACCAATGGTAGAGAATGTTTGCTTTGTACAGCTGCCGACGTGGAGTCACGTATTTAAAATTCACTTCGCTTCTCCACGGATGCAAATATCCCAGGATTTTCTTCTTTAATCTATAATACAGTTCATTGCAGAGCGGCAGACACTGGGCGCACTGAGATGGGGACCAATTCCCTGGATTTGAATTAAAGTCAAGTAATCTAAGGAGCTCTATAGGATAGACTATAAAATCAAAACTCACTTTCCACCAACTGCAAACAAGTTACATTCTCCAAAGTGCAGTGCTGAAAAATATCCTCGCTCAACTCGAAAGGATATGGCACACACTGGCAATTAATTAGCGTGGCATTTAGTTTACACTCATTGAGGCACTTTTCCCGGCTTTTGCCCTCTTGGGGAAAATAACAACCTCGCTTTTCTATGGCGTACTCTCTTAATTGAGGATTTCCCTGAAGCTCCATAACTTCCACTTGTATTGCTGCCACTTCGCCGGGGTTAATGCTAATTCTGCCCAGCCAACTCGGAACATGCAGGCTAAAGCCGGGAAAGTTTTCCTTTAAAGGATATGCATCTTCTTGCGAGGAGTCCAAAAAAAGAGAAAGTTCTCCCGTGAGATTCGCTTTGCTTAAGGCACAACAAATTCCTTGGTTATGAGCTTTCAGTATAAATAGTTCTGAGCAATTTACTGGCATTTGATTAACTTTACAACTTTTTATTAAGGACTCACAGGCGGGAGTTAAAGTTAGCAAAAGAAGGCTAATATTTTGAACATCCAGTAAAGTATTTATATTGAATACATCCTCTGGTTTAACAGACAAGGGATCAAAGTAACCCGAGAGCAATGATAACTCATTCAGCCAATACTCTTCGGAACTTTGGTTGTAATTAAGCAAACCCTGTGCATATCTAACCATTTTCCTTCGACTAAACCTATATCCACTGCATATTTTCAACTCAGGAAAAAGCATTTCCTCTTCTACAACTTGCACTTCTGAGAGCTCTGTAATAGATGAGTAGCTGAGAAATTCCAGAATCATGGCAAACACGGCATAAGCAGCGAAGAGTATGCCAAAACTAATAAACAGAAACCAGAAGATTCTCTGAATCCGGCGTCTTCTTATAAAGTAAAGCAGGCCGAAGCCATTGAGACTTGTTTTTCGAAAATATTCCACCACTGTTTTATTGAAAGCCTCTACAATTCGAGACATTTTGGCAATACTAAAGTGATATTTTTCCTGCACTACATTTTATAGCTCCTAAGCCGGGTAATTATGGCATTGAGAACCCCGATTATCCAGTGAAGATAGCTCCTCGAGTGTCTCCAGCCGAATAAATAACGTCAAATTATATTAGCTCAACAAGTTGAAGGCGTGGCTGAGTGGCCATTAATGGAAATGGCAGTTGCCGAGTATCGTAAGTCGAAACATGCAACGACTGTCAACTGTAATTTACCGGAGAGCTATGGTAAACACACAAGAAACACATTCACATTCACAGATACACACCCACACAAGCTAATCAAATATATATCACGCTAATGCTAAGGGTTGCATATTAATGGGATTTAGAAGGGAAACCCCCTTTTCTACGAGTTCTAGTAATAGCCTAATTCTATGTCTAACAATTTATACCATCACCATTCGTCAATCTATTTTTATGTAAACTAGCCTCTCAGTGTAAGACGACGAAAAGTCGACCTTCAAGAAATGGAAAACTTTGAATGCAGTTTTATTAAGGATGCGATTACAAACAGATTAGAGGTATGCCATTTAAGAATCGGACAAAAATTGGCAAATTTATGGCTTACAAGTGTAAGCTTGCCGAAGCTTCCTTTCTTGTTTAGTTCTTAAAAATAAGCATTGGTATATTGCAAACGAAAATTAAGCTTATGGCTGACCCAGTTAAAGAGAGAAATGTTTTTATGTTCCGATTACCTCAATGCATAAACCTATTCCAGCTTAAATCTCTGGCACTTGTTACCAAAAATAAATCTAATAAGGAACATGAATGGATTTTTGTTGCCCCAAAACTAGCTTGTAATTCCCTCAAGCTCCTCTCGCCATCTCTTTTACTCCCAATCTAGCTCTCTCTCTCTCTTTCTTTTCTCCCCCTTAACAAACTCCCTTTCATTCGGACCACAATAATCCAACTGGGCAAACAAGTTGAAGAGCTAAAACGCAATGCGAACAAACAACAACATCTGTGGGATAAAACTAAATAAAAACGAAACACAAATTCCAATAAGACGCACACCAATACACCGAGCACACACACATGGGATATGCAGAAGAAGAAGAAGCACCATACAACCCACACACAATAATTTCCGGTTCAATTAAACGCTTGTTTATTTATTTATTTATACGTAGCTTCTACGGGCGATTCACTCTAAGATGGGAGGGGATAAATTGAGGGGGGCGTCGTGTTTTCGATTTAATTGTGGGGGCAGAGACTTGAAAGAAGAACAGCCAGAAGAAATTCCACTCATTTGCTTATGAATGAACTTGGCCCACAGAAACTTGGCCAAAACAAAACATGTGGCATAAAAGTCAAAGATGAATGGATTTCCCATGCCATTTCGATTTAGTGTCATTTAAGAAATTTTACGGCCAGAAAAACAAATAAATTTATTTATATATTTATAATCAGTTTTCCAAATAAGCAACTCGACCAGGCGGGTAATAAAATAATGTCCTCGTTAATAGCTGAGGAAGCCCATTGGAAATGGTTAATCCTGTCAAGAAACGAGCGACCTCAAAATGGATTACTAAAGCGCTCGGAGGCGAATGCCACCGGCGAAATTTATGCAGCCGTAAAAGCGGGGAAATTGCCAAGAGGAAGGGGCTAAATAAACTGTTGGGAAGGGGTGATTCAAGAGGCAGGACGACAAGGGCAACTAACCGCAAAATGATTGCATACTTTAATGGGCCAAGCACTTAGGCAGCCTCCCCCTCCCCCTCCCCCTCCCCTCTGCACACTTCTCCCCTTCGTCGACGCTTCTTCACCGCCTTCTTAACCCCTTCTGCACTTCTCCATGGTTGTCTCGATACTCTTGCTTCCGCTGTAAAATTGCATCAGTAAAAATAGCGCAAAAATTGAATAAAACTAACTGGAAGAGAGAAAGTGGGCGGCAAATGGGCGTGTGCAACGCATAAATGTGAAAGGTTAGACTTGCAATGCGTGTCAGGAATGCAAGAGAGCCGCACAGCGGAGAAAGGGGATAGAGATAGAGACAGGGGGGTAGAGAAAGCATCGGCCAAGAAAGGGTTAAGTGCTTACTCATACTTTGTGGCTTATGGAATGCAAAGGCGAAGGCAAGGAACAGATAAGGGAGAGAAAGTGTCCGGGGAAAGGAGGAAGAAGCAGCAAAAGGAGGCTGCTAAGTGCCCGAAGGCTTTCTCTGCCTCGCAAGTCACGGGAAATGCCTCAAACGAGATGGCTCAAGTATGCTAACCATTCACAAAGAATTTCAAATTCCAGGTGTTAAAAATAAAGTACAAATACAATAAATATTTCAGCCCGAAAAGAAAGTGAGAGAGAAATGTTTGGGGTTTTTAAAGTGTGATGGGTCTAATTGGAAATTTATTGCATGATAAAATTATTTAACATGTAACTACAAAAAAATATATTTATAAATACAAAATGTAAGGATCAACAACAAACAACAAAATCTGATATAATAATGCACCATCAATTCTGAGTTGACTGACAATCAGGTCAATCAGGGAGCACAAAGTGCACTTCACCTCCAAACAAATTGAGCCACCACCTCGTATACGTTATACACCTTTCGTATCCCCAATCTAACCAGATAAACAAACTCAAGGTCCGAACCGTCAGACCGCCGAAAAATCCACAAACATTCAAGCAGAAACGAAATCAACAAGGAAAGTGCAAAAGGCAACATAAAAATCACATTGCACTCAAAAAGGCTATCGAGTAATTCACACACACAGGGACACAGGGAAATGACAGGACGTGGAAGAAAAAGAGCATTAAAGCCCCATGAAAAACCATCAAAAGCAGTGAAAAGCCAAAAACACACGAGAAAATCGCCCTGCAAAATGCACAAAAGAAAAACAAAAATAGTCGGGTTGCCATAAAAGTGCTATAACTTAACACTCACCAGCGAATGTTAAGGAAAACTTAACAGAGAGAGCGGAAAACAAGGATAAAGAGCGCGCAGGATGCAGAGCGCAGGCTCTCATTTCCGTTTTCGTGACGTCGTCGGTGACGTTGCATAGAAAAATGCGAAACTGCGTGTGCAGCAGGATGCGAGAAAACCAAAAACCGAAAACTGAAAAAGCGTGACAAAATGGGAAAAGCCTCTAGCAGAGATTTTTTTCCTTTCTGCCAGAGATTTTCCCAGAGAGCCGCCTAATGAGCGGAAGGAAAAGCGGATGAAGTGAGGTTGGAAAATCGTGGGTTGCGACAGGTTGAAAAGCAGTTGGTGGAAAGGGTATCGACTAGGGAATACTATAGTAGTGAGAACATACATAAAACTTTTTTAAACTTGTTATTTAATAAGCCAAAAACTCCTATTAGTCAACTTTTAAACACCTCAAACAATCCAAGAGGAACTAAAGAAATAATAAATTCTAATAAATCAACAAATCAAATGTTAGATTTGATAATTATTAAAGTATTTTCTTTGTGTATTTAAACTCTTATGCATTTTCGTACCTTTGAAACAAGCACAACCCATGATGTAGCCCATCATCAGCGTGGCTTTGATGTCGCCCTTCAAGCTGATTCGCTTGTCTCCCGATTGTCCTTATTCTTCCAATTTCTCAGAGTTGTTGATGTTATTGGTGATTTTGTTGATGATGTGATTGTTTCTGGTGGGGCTGCACTCGTGGAGAAGTGAACGACATCGGAAACAGTCGAGTTTAAAATGGCAGTTATGGGAATAAACTTAATCTCTCGCAGTTTTGCCGCTCGCAGACTTCTTGGCCATGTATTATTTAACACGCAATCTGGGTTTATGAGGCCTCAGGGTCGACGCTTATCACTCTTAACGGTTAACGGGAATTTATGCAATAAGCCCCATGAAACTTTTATTTTCTATTGTGCACCGTCGTACATCACACACTCACAAACTTTGATTTACACACTTGACTTTATCACAAATATTCTAGTTGTCGATTGGTGTTGCTGTCTTTATTGCTAATAAAGCCTTTCGGTTTGATTTCGCTTTATGCTTTTTTTGTGCTATTTTTTATTGATTATCACTTAAAATTGGTTTGGTTTCTTATGTTGCGTTGCTTTTTGTCTTGCCTCTCTGATTGCTTTTCCTTATTTGGCTGACTCTCTGCTCTTCGCGATTATCTTTGTGCGATGATTGTGGAAAATTTGCTCATTCTCGATGATTTCACTCGTTGCGTTTTAATATCGGCTTGTTTTTGTTTTGTTGCTTTTTTTCAGTTGTGCGTTTGCATTTTATAATTTATTTTACTTGATTGTGCAGTTGTTGTGGTTTGTGTTTGTTGAATTTTAATTTATAGTATCACAAAAGAGAATCTCTGACGCGCCAGCAAGAACCAATTAAAATCGTTATTAATAATTATGTGAAATTAATCATAAACATTTAAGGAAGCTGTAAACGCTTTTTGTGCTTGTATTTGGCTGGGGGAATTAATTTTGGGGTTGATAAATTGGACGGCTTTATGACGAAAGCGTCAAAAGGCGAGAGCATTTACTCGGAAAATGTATTTAAAATGCGTCAGAGGTCGAGTTTAAATTGGTTGTTAAGCCCCCAGTAAGTTTATTGGCATTGATTTCCAAAGATTAATTTTATATATTTGTTAAGACCACCCGAAACAGCCTGCCTCGACAATATTCTTTATTTGACTAAAATCGCCAGTTCAAGTCGCCGCTTAGTATGAATAATTTGCTTTGTTGTGTCACAACAATCTATTAAAATACAAAAAACCGTTTTAGGCAATCAACCATACGCGTCAAAAACACTCACGACCACTTTACACACGGGTTAAATTTCAGTAGAAACTTTAAAATAGCAGTGCTACCCACTTGAAAGCCACTGGCCTGAATTGTGTCCTTATTTGCCCAAACAAGCAGCCCATTGTCCATAAATAAGCGGCAGACACAAACAAAAACACTTGCTGGAAAACTGTCAGTGGCCCAAATTGATAAAGATTATCCGAAAGCCAATGCGACAGGCACGGCCCGATGCCAGAAAAGTATGAAAAAAAAAAACCAGAGAGAGGAAAACTGTGACTGCATTGATCAAAAATCCACCCACCCACGAAAATTCCAATTTAAATTGAATTCCAGCGGGGGGCAATGGGACTTTATTCAATGCGATTCTGGGAATAATTAAGTACCGCAAAAAGACAGCCTGAAAAATGAGAAGTGAAATACCGGAAGTTGCAGTGAGACGAATTTCTCGCCAGCCAATTGTTCATAATTAAACACTCTGGCCAGCGGCAAGCGGAGCAAACATGGGAAATCAACGAGCGACCACATCAAGTATACGCCACCATAAAAGTGAATTTTTTGCGCGCGAGAATTATAATTGATGGCGCCCACATTCTGTTCCAATATCGCTTCCATATCCCTCCCCCTCCCCCCTCGATGCCACGCTGTGTGGATTTTACGGCCCCGGCTGGAGGTCAGTAGCACATGCTTCCAGAGGTGAAACATTTCGAGGGGACGGGCAAGACATTGACATTGTCATCATTCGACTTTTATGGCGCCTTTAAAAATGTATCTCGAAATTGTTGCCATCGCTGGAGCGAAGATGGCGAAATGCGAGATGAGTAGCAAGTGGAGGAAGTGAAATTTTGAGGCGAAAAACGAACTTGAAACACCCTACAAATCCAGGAACTCAATCGAAATAACTTTTGATGATAAATAAAAAACTTAAAGAAAAGCCTATTATATTTTATTTTGCTT